GAGCTCTACAAAGGTGAGAAAAAGTAAAAAGGGAAAATAAATCTCAAGAACAAATTGAAATGTATGTTTTTATTTTCCTTCTTTTATTTGCAGAGCTTTTTTCTTTTACTGTAGAGGAACAAGAAAAAAGGAACACTCAAATATTTGAACTCTCTCTGGTAATGACAATGATAATGACAAGCAAATTTTATGTCTACCCATTGAAGAGGGAAACTGTGTTCTGACATTTCATACTCTACTTCATTGCTACAGTTATTTTATATTCTGGTCCCTCTGCTATCCAACAGCCTATTATAATTTGTTTTCTTATTCTATGTGTTTTTTTGTTATCTGGAAATGATATATACTATTGAATGAAGAAATGTTTAAACATACAGTGCTCAATTAGCATACCCTTTTTTCTTCTACTTCATTGTGATATATGTCTGACTTTTCCCTCTACGGAATTCTACAGAAATGAAACATTGATGGAAAAGAGCTATAAAATGCCAGCAGTAGTTAGTGCAATCTGTTATGTCCAATCTAAATTCTACTGTTACCTTTACATTCTAGAAGAAAATGTTGAATCCTGTACAAACTCCTTCAGTCTGGCCCTGGGGCAAGCACCACTGTCTTTCTAACTTTCAGAGTTCCTTCTTCTTCTAGTCAGATTTTTCCAGTTTCCTCACTCTAGTATGATTATTTCCCAAAAGTTTTCCTTTAAGTTAAATGAAAGTTTCGCAAGAAAATAACAACTGAAGAGTTTATTTTAAAGTTTTTGGTTTTTATTTTCTTTATTAAACTCGTGTCCAAGCACAGAGGGCTTCACCTTGGTCAGGGCAATCCCCGATATGTTCACAGACTAGGAGAAGAACTTCCTGAGATCGGTTCTGAGTAGAACGATCCTGAGGTTCTGCTGGACAAAATGCTCAGCATGAGCCAGCAGCATGCTCTTGCAGCCCAGAAGGCCAACAGTAGGCTACATCAAAAGAGGTGCGGCCAACAGGGAGAGAAAGGATTCTCTCTCTCTGCTCCGCCCTTGCAAGGATTCATCTGAAGTACTGTGTCCTGATCTGGGAACCCCAGCCTGTGGAGCCGTTGGAGTAGATCCAAAGGAGGGACATGAAGATGATGAGAGGGCTGGAGCACCTCTCCTGTGAAGAAAGGCTGAGGGATCTGAGCTTATTCATTCCAGTATTGAAAGGAAACTTTTAACAGGAGAGAGTCTGACTTTTTACACAGTCTAATAGCGATAGGACAAAGAGGAGATGTATAAATTAAAGAGAGGAGATTTAGATTTGATCTTAACAGAAAATTTTTTTGCTCAGAGAATGCTGAGGCACTGGCACTGGCTGCCCAGAGAAGCTGTAGTTGCTCCACCCCAGAGGCACTCAAGACCAGGTTGGTTGGAGTCTGGGCAACATAATCTGGTGGTGGCAGTGCTACTAATGGCAGAGAGTTAAGAGCTGGATGGTCGTTATGATTCCTTCCAGCCCTTCTATGATTCTCTTATTCAATGGGCTATGTCTGCTGCTGCACTCTGCTTGCTTACTGCTCCTTTGAGTATTTCTCAGAGCAGAAGATCAGTACTGCACAGGATCCCCAGTGAGCACTGGGACAGAGAAGACACCTGCATTAATTACTTTCTCAATTGGCCAGACAGAAGCAACAGGAGTGTGGCAGAGCAACTTCACTCCAACCTCCTGCTGCAATGGTCTTTGAGTTTGCTAAATTTGGCCTTGGTCCTAGTCAGCATTGCTGAGTTCCTCACTGCTTCCCCAATATGCTGATGAAGTATCTTTGCTGCCTTAAGTTACTGAAGGGAGGATAAAGAATTCCATGAGAGATCTATTCATTTCCTTTTTTACCATCAAGTACAATAATTGAGTCTCTCTTTATACTTACAAGAATCCAGTGAACTTAAACAATGACAACAGTTTGTCAACTGAAAAGTCCAGCAGCTGGAATGGCTCACCTGATAGTGCTGGTAATAATCCTGGTCTGCTCATCGTAAAGAATATGGAAATTTTGGACTTTACCCATGGTCTTAATTCTTGGAAAAAAATCTATCCTGCATTCAAGTCAAGCATAATGTTTTTAGGATTTTAAATATATTCCATTTTCCAGTTGAAATGACTTCTCTTAACTTTAGACACAAATATTCAAACCAAGCAGGAGAGAGTGCTCTCCCTCACTAAAACAAAAGCAAAAGAGCAAAAAAGGTCAGTTTAGGGTGCAAACAAGCTGATTTCATTAGATGTGTTATATTTAAGTAAAGTAGAAAAAGTACAGTCTACACAGACATACATTTTCAGATCTACTGATTGCTTTCATTTTAGCTGAATTGTCTGCCTAAAACTAAAAGATCAGAGAATCCTAGAATCACCAAGGTTAGAAAAGACCTCCAAAATTATCTAGTCCAACTGCTTTCCTACCACCAATGCTTCTTCATTAAATGTTCCTTAGTACAACATCTAACCATTTCTTGTATACCTCCAAGGATAATGACTCAACCACCTCCTCGAGCAGCCTGTTCCAATATATCACTGCAAACTTACTAAGGATGCACTCAGTGCCTTCATCCAGGTCATCAGTAAAGATACTGAACAAGACAGGCCCCAGTACCAACCCCTGGGAACACCACTCCTGACTGATCACCAGCTGGATTTAACTCCATTCACCACCACCCATTAGGCTTGGCCCTCCAGCCAGTTCTTTACCCAGCGAAGACTGTATATGTCCAAGCCATGGACTGTCAGCTTTCTAGCAGAATGCTGTGAGAGACAGTGTCAAAGATTTTGCTGAAGTCTAGGGAGACCACATCAACAGCCTTTTCCTCTTCCACCAGGTGAGCCAGACAAACATAGAAAGAGATCAGGTTGATCAAGAAGGACCTACCCACGCTGGCTAGGTCTGATCCCCTTGTTGTCCCACATATGCCGTGTGATCTCCCTCAAGATGATCTGCTCCATAACCTTTCCTGGCACTGAGGTCAAGCTGACAGGTTTGTAGTTCCCCAGATCCTCCTTACTACCCTTCTTGTAAATGGGGTCACATTGGCAAGCCTTCAGCCCTCTTGTTCTTCAATCCTCTTCAATCCATTTGCTGTGGAGACTAGCTTTAGAGCAGATAAGACTCCATTGGGCAAGGGATCTGGAGTGAAAAAGGCCAACAAAAAAGCTCTTCTTAGGGCTTTTTTTTAAGCCAAGAACAGCACTGTGCTTGTGCTGGGCAGCTGGCAGCTTGTGAGTAGGCTGCTGAGCGAGCAGGGGTAGAGCACAATTTAAACACCCTATAAACGTGCCATCACCCACCACTGACCTTGGCAACTGGTGATAAGCTTTAAATATCCTTGGGGAGCGCTGCAGGTGAGTAATCGTTGTTACTGCTCACTGAGAACAGGTAGGTTCAGTGTGTGAGCACAGCCCACGCTGCCCATGCAGTACTGCAGCTGTGGGTGTGAGAGGTGGGTTAATTGTTGAGGAGTGTGTTGTCCCTATTTGCTGTGGAGACCACCTTTCCTCTTGGCAGTTCTGAGCCTAAACATGGTCTCCACCAGACAGCAGGCAATTAAATACAAAACAAAGCAAAACAAATCTTATCCAAGGAAAAGCTGGGGAAGTACAATAAAAAAGAAGACCTAAATGAAACTTCCAAGCAGGACTGTTCTACATTTATGTCCTTAAAGGAGGCACAAAGATTGTATCTGCTCATTTGGAGAAATCTATAATGAAATATCACTTCTTGCGTATCCTTCCTTCATGAATTTTTCCTTAATTTAGCAAATATACCCTTTTTACTGAAAACAGGTTCCTTATTGTTTCTACTGAACTTCTCACTAGTTACAACCCAGAAAACACTGTTAGCAATACTAGCACTGTTACCAGACAGCATGTTTGATGTGGACTTGTAAACTGACTGTTTAGAAGTCAGTAGAATCTGTGCTAACAGCAGAACATTTAGCCCACTTTACAATAGAGCACAGGTAGGATTTAAAGCATGATCTGTAAGATTAAAAGTGGGAAAAACATTTTGGTAATAATCTGTCCCCATTGGCTCAAAGGCAGCAGGCTAGCTTGCTTTCCAGTCTGAACATGGCTCTTTACCATCAAAGGACAGAACCCAGTGATTTCCTACACAAAATTTAATTCCCATTTCCTAGACCTAAAGCTGGGGTTAGGGGAGGATATTTTCTGATAATAAAGGAAACAGATTTATTAAAGAATCATATAAGTTATATATCTATTTCATGTTTTACTATGGCTGGCAGCCAAAATAAAATGTATACATCTGCTTCAGAGTAGAATTCAAAGGATGTAGAGAACTAAGGAAATCTAAATCTCTCCACAGAGAAGCAAGAAATCTGTTGACTTCTGAAGTCTTCAGTCTACAAAGTAAATACTAAACTAACTAAATTCTGCATTATCTTACCTCACAATTTACTTTCAGCCTTATTTTTTTCTTTTCAAGTAAAATAAGAGCACTCTTTCATCATACATGAATGAGCTATTTGTTTTAATAGAAGAAAATGCTTTCATTCTATTTTAAATAATTCCTTTTGGAATACTTCTGTATGACCCTCATTTTATTCTTTTCTTTCTAAATTAGAATGGTGTTCATTCACTGCTGTTGTTGCAAAGTCTACAGATTCAGTTCTTCTTAGAAAACTTATGTCAGACCTCCTTATTGACAATGATTTTTCTTTGGAATCCAAATTCAAAAATGTTTTAAAAAAGTGAAATAAAATGTAATCACTGCATTCTGAAGTAGGTCTGAAATATGTCTGAATTTTACTGTTTGTTTGTTGTTTTTTTGGTTACCTCAATAGTATTCTCAGTTAGAATGGAAGAGGGGAAACAAATAGTTCTTCACAAACTATGACATGTGCACATACAATCCAGGGTATTAAATAAACATGGATTCAAGATTTAATAATGATGATAGTTCTGTATAAAATCATCCCTCTAGTGAAGAACATAGAAATATCACTCTTGCCCATAGAAGCAGGGTGTACAATGTGGAAGGATATAAGGAAAATTCTAATTGTTCTTCTAAGTTTCAAATTTTTGTCATATTTCAGTCATTTTAGAAATGTATTGTCAGTTGTCCAGTCCTTTGTTTTGTTAGCAGATTAGCTCATTCCTCATTCTGCTCACATCTGCTCTCCTAAAAGAAAAAACAAAACTCACTTTAAATAAAAACAAAGAATTTTCAATACAACAGTTTTCTAAGCCTTGGATTCACTTCTTGATGTTGCTGCTGACAGGCAGCTGTGTCTGGGATGTACCAGCTAGCTCTAAATTTCATTTCTGAGACTCTTTACGTGATCTTTTAGTCATAAAAAACTCCTTATCTGATAATATAGCCAAATCTGTATCTGAGAACATTGTCCAAAAACTATCAAGTTGAACAGCTTGAGTATCTTGATCATACAAAGATAATTGCAGAGTGGTATTTAAAGCAAATACAGTAACAGAAATACATTGTCTTACAGCTTGTTTTCCAGGCAAAATGTTTCTTTTTTGGGGGGGATAGGAAGGAGTGTTGATGTTGTGGGTTTTTTTAATTGTTGTTTTCTGTATGTTCTCTATTCTTACAGTAACACATATCTGGACAAATTTCTTTGCTCCCCCATGAGTGGACTGTTTCCAGTGGGATCTTAATTTCCATCTTCACACAAGCATCTCCCCAAATACCAGTTCAGGGAATAGCTCTGTGGGTTCTGAAATGGACTGAGATGGAGTTCTAAGTATCCCTGGGACCTACCTTGTTGAAAGTACCCATGTCTCACAAGAACTGAGGAAAGATGCAGGTAAAGTTTACTGTTACAGAAACAGCATCAAATAAAAGACATAGGCATCTTTCACTTACTGAACAGTCTTAATCTTTAGCTATGAAGTTTTTTTCTCTTTTGCCCTTCTGATTCTCCTTCCCATTCCACTGTAGAGAAGTGACTAAGTAATTTTGGAAAGGTTTACCTTACAGCCCTACAGAGTTAAACTAGCACAAATTGATTTTCAGACCATTATGATATCTAGGGTTGAAAGTACCATGCCTATTGTTGGTCCTTGCTTCCAGTGAAAATGGCTTCGGATAAGTTCTTTGTGATATCCTTCAGAATATCCTTTAGATTATCAACAGTTGCACACAGGAAAAAGTTGATTCACCTGCATGATGCAAAAGGCTCTAGAGCACTCCTCAAGAATTGGCCTTTGACCAGAAGAAACTCTTCCTTCAGAGGCTAGCCCTTAAATGAGCCCAGGGAAGTATCATGTGGGAAGCGCAAGTGAACTGCTTGCACCTGTGCTTCCTGGGCCATCCAAATGCTGGTGCCCACGTGAGTTGTACAGAAGCAGAACATTCGAATACAAACAAATACGAAATACAAATACAAATGAGAGGACCATGATTTACAGAGGTTTTGTGCCTATATGCAGCAATTTCTACTAAAAAAAAATGTAGCTTACTTTGGAGCAATTTTTTAAAATATTGTCTTAATTCAGATAACAGATATGAAGAGAAAAAAATACAATGAACATGGAAATAACAAGTGAGACTATTTCCATTATCTAACTGTTTTTCAGAAGTGTTGAAGAACAGCAAAGAAATATAACACTTAACATTGCTAAGAATGACACCTAAGGCAGCAGTAATTTCATGTAAGGCAAATCCTCCAAACCTGTTGATACCAGTGCACCCAAGCAGTGCAATTTTTTTTTTTTTTTTTTTTTTTTTTTTTTTTTTTTTTTTTGTGGGTTGTTTTGTTGTTTTTTTTTTCCAGCAATTTAGGAGAGTATTCAAAAAATTGAATTCTGAACCCATTTCAGAAATTTGGTGTTTTTCCTTTTTTTCTTCATTAAATATCACATCAGTATTTTCATCAAAACACCAAAACCTAGCGCAGAAATTCCTAGTGCCCCCAGAATACTGACTCCTCTTGAATGTGCTATGAATGGAAATCTGTGTGAGTGATCTGTTAGCACAGCTTCCAAGCCCACTTCCTCTCTTCCCCATCTCTTCACAATGACAACAGCTTTGTTCAAAGCTTTGTTACAATTTCAGCATCCTAAAGGAGCCAAATCACCCTTTGTGTTGATGATGGCCTACTACCTTACTGAGGTGACTTTTGCTTTGCCTCTTAGAAAATTTACCTAAAGTTCAGTTCAGGACTAAGTAGACATAATGAGAATCATTACCTGTTTAAAAGAAAAATGTTTATTTTCTCTTCAGGAGGTACCTTACTGAAGAATGTGAATTGGGGTGCCTGTAGGTTAGATCATTGTTATCATAGAGGTAACTCTACTAAGAACTGTAAAAAAACAAACAAACAAACAAAAACAAACAGAAACCACCTAACAAGGTGTAACAATGTTAGAAACTGCAAAGGAGCTCCTTTACATTTTTCTTCCTGAAAAAAATAATCTCTTCCAATGTGTTTGACATACTGTACTTCCTTATATTTCTCAGTACTGCAAAGCCAAGACTGGAAAAGTAATGTTTCTGAGGGGAAAAAAAGAAAAAAAAAAAAAGCCAGTCTAAACTTTACAAGCCCTGCAGAAATTCATGACCCCTTCAAGGAGAACAGAGAGGCTACTCCCTAAATATGCTTCCCATGCAGTTTCTGAGCACATGTAAGTAAAGCAGTCAAGTTACCATTGTGTACAATTGTGCACAAGGCCCCAGAGAGTCCAGGAAGGACACTGAGATCCAACAGCAGTAATTCAGTATTATCCCTACACCATGACTTTCCATTATGGTTTATTCTTCATCTCCTTTGGCAGGACAGCCGTGCTGCTGAGTGAATTGGTAATGCTGCCCTCTAGTTCACACCCAGATATGCAGCTCTCTGATAGCAATGCATCCCTGGCTCTCACTGTCAGAGTACTAGCTCCTTTGAAGGCTTCCTCTGCCCCATAAAGTCTCGCCCATGCATCACCCAGGTACCCACCTCCTCCTATGGTTTTTATCCCTCTGCAACTCCTTACACTCTCTCTGCTAGTTCTCCTGGCATAATACACATGTCTGGGGGAGGCAGGGCAGAGATCTTCATGTCTGTAGAAATAGCCATTACTTGATTTTGCATCGTCAGGCTGCTCTGAAATATAAAGCAAGAAGACACAGTAACCAGATAAATTCCCCAGCCTCTTCTCGGAAAGTTACTTGAAAAGCACATTAAATTTTCTTGATCTTGACTTTTCCTTTTTTAGAAAAGAAGAAGACCAAAAATAGATTTTCTGATTACAGTGCGAAACCTATAAAGGGAATGCTTATTAGTTTGTGTAGCTCTGCCAGCCCGGAGATGAAATGAGTCACTGAAGTGTCAGAACGTTGCATCTACTGCTTTTTCACTGCTCTGACAGAGAATTATTATCATCTGCATGATGTTCTAGTTGGAGGACACCTAATACCAGAGACCATTGCTACCAAAAACTTACTGGCTTTTGGCCAAAGGCTTCAAAGATAACTGAAACAGAGCATGCAAGACTCTTTCTTGTTATTTGGGGTAGACAAATATAAATAATCTTCTTAATTAAACACAGTGAGGAAGTGAAGATGCTAGGACCTCAGTGCTGATCCCTGAAATAATCCCGCTTCTCCAGTTATTTCAGCAATGCCAGGATTTCAAAATGGAACAGGGAATTGATGTACCGTACAATAGAGGATTATGGGGGTAAAATGTACTTAAACAGCCTGTACAGTAAAATATCACACTTCGGTATACTCAGTTTGGCTGTTTGTTGTTTATAAAAACTAAAAATAAATACATAAGACACTTCCAATAGGTAGCATGCCATTTCTATTTCTCCCATGGGAAATAAACTTTATTTGACAGAGAGCAGTGGCTTTTTGGGGAAGAAAAGAAAAAAAAAGTGCAGACATTAACTGTATGTACTGAGGCATGAAGTCACATATTTAGAAGATTAGAGCTACCAGCACAGGAAACTGTTTTCCAGAGCTTGTTTAAGAACAGAGCCATAGGAATACAGGTCTGGAAGGAGGAAGTGTTGCCTACAGAAAATATCTGTGCAATTTATGGGTACTCTGCTACATCTAAGAATATGTGCCTGTGGAGGAAAAAAAGAAGAAAAAAAAAGTAATTTTCCAGTGAATGGTAAAAATGGGGGAGGGTTCCACCATTATCTCCAGTGAAACTCAAAGAATGGACCCTGGGACCACGTCTCCCTTTTTTGAGTTGGGAATTTCAGTAGACAGCTTGACTAAGTGGGTGAAGATTGAAATGTGTGCTCCCTGCACATCTCTGCCATTGACCAGCTCACTGTTTGTAAATCCACTGGCACTGCAGATGTCACAATGTGCTTTTTTTGTTGGTTTTTTTTGTGTTTGTTTTTTATTTTGTCCTGCCAGGCAGGATGTGATCTCAGCTGGGAATCCTGGAACTACAGTAAAATAAATGACTTAATGATTCAGAACAGAAAAATAAATCAAGCTCTCCCTTCTTTCCCAGAGACTCAAGCAAAGGATGCCATATATCGCTCCCAAACCATGTATTTTCTAAGAAAGCTACTAAACTAAATGGGCCATTTCCCACCTTCATTCCCTCTAAGAGACTACCAAACAGCAAAACCTTGCTCCAACAAATCACTAAAAGAAAATAACACCAAGTTTCTGTCCTTGTACTGAATTCCTACCTTTACATTGCGTTGAGATCTTAGGAACAGATCTCTCCTTACCTGGCAGACTTTCCAACAACTATGCTCATCTAGCATAAAGACAGCTACATCCTACTTTATTTATCAACTGAACTTTTAATATATTAGGAGAAAAAAATGTTATGGACAATTCAAAAGAATGTCATCCAGACTAAACTTGATTTCAATTCATTTTGGTGAATGAGACTGAAGATGCAATGGGGTACTTGGGATTGGTCCCAAGATTTTTGGTTATACCATATATCCCCAATGAAGTGATGACACTGTTAATAGCTGATCTAAATGTACGGTTACAAAGTGCTGTAGAAATTACAATAGGCAGAATGTTACTGTAAATAAATAAGTGAATTGCATGACTAGGTAATAATAAGATGAATTCTGCTTACACAAAATTTGCAGAGAAATAACTTAATAGGTAAGTGTTAACATTTTGGGTGGGTACTGGAATCATAGGATTTCAAAGTAAAAAGCTGTAGCAAATACATAATTTAGGGTAGTAAGTACATAAACCTCAAGTAAAAAGTGGCAGGAAAGAGAAAGAATGACAGCTCAGGTTCTTTGCTCCATCTCTCATACTACAGAAAATTCAGTATGAACACTATTCTTTTTTAGATAATAATGAAATATAGGCACACACTGTCCCAGCTCTGACTATCTCTTAAATAAAAAACAAACAACAGAAAAAACAGAAAAGTATCAACACAGCAAAATGCAGAAATAAAGAGAAATATGGAGTTGGTGCTTACTAAGATCCTAAAGGGCTATATCTACTGGATTTAATATTTACAACTCTATATAGGCAAAAACAGTTATTACTATTTTTCTGCAGATGATCGTGGGTCAATACTTATTTTGCAGATATTTGTTATGTTAATCTGTACTTGCTGTCATAATCATTGAGGATCAGCCATAACTGAATGCACTTTCTAGTAGCAGTGAGTGTCTCAGTGTCTCATGCTTAATGTATTTATTTATAACTTGCTACTTTTGGAAAATTTCTCCCCAAAAATAGTCTAAGTGAGAGTAACTTTCAGCTTTGATTCATCTCTGGTTAGGGAGGAAAAATGCAAGCAGTCATTTGGAAAGACAGAACAGCTGTTTATCAGTTTTACATACTCTGATTAAACCTGCCATTGAAACTGGGGGTTTGTAAAAAGTCTAGTAAAAGAATACCCTGTTGTAGCTTAAACCCCAGAGCCACAAGCAATCACATGGAATTGTCTAACAAAATGTAGCTTGTAACACAGAACTGTTGTTGACAATCTTATTTCTATTTTCACACCCTTATATTTTCTTAATTCCAAAACGGATGACAATCTAGCCATTCTGCGTATTCAAGTACCCACTGAATAACTTCCCATTGGGGATTCCCACTTGAATTTGGCCTGACAGCTTCAAGGCGTGGTGAACCATGTTTGCCATTCTTTAAATAATGACTTTGGCTGTCATAAGTAGTCTCATTAGAAATTAAATCATCATTCTCCAGCTACAGCTTTAGGGCAGGTACTGCATCTTGGCCACTCTAAGCTATCTCACCCTACAGCGGCTATATAATGTCAGAACTAATAAAACAAGAAGCTAGCTTTCTGCTACAGTCACTGACTCAGGAAGACTTTGCCAACCCAAGGTTTGCAACTAAAGGTTTGCAACGCTTGGAATAATCAGTTTAGAGATGAGTATGGAGAAAGAAAAAATTTTACTGAAGAAAGAAGGAAGACCAGAAATATATATACTCTATACCTGTAAAAAAGTACTTTCATGCCCTTTTTGCAAAGATATTTATTTATTAATATCCACTTTTATTATCTTTACATGCAAACTGAGGAAAAATTACATATACATCACTGAAGAAGGGCCAATGAAACCGAAAAATCCTGAAAATCCTGTTTTCATAACACTGCAAGGCTAGAGGGAATAAGGATTTTCTTCTGATCATCTTATCCAATTCAAAGCATGTTTTTCTTTCTAACAGGTGTAAAGACTAACCTAGCAAGGCACTTTGTGAATAAAACTATAAAACTCAAATTTCCTTCTCTACCTTTTTTTTTTTTTTTTTTCTCCATATCTGTATCTAATTAGCAATTTTATGAATATGTATTAGTAAGGACAGGAGCTAGCTTCAGTTTTTCAAAGTTATTATTAACACACTTAATAATATCAGGTGCCATTTGTTAATAGGTCAAAAGGTTTCCAGATGAATAAATGATCCTTGTTGGTAAAAGATCCAAGAGACATCAGTCCTTCTCCATTCTTATTATACGTTTTGATGTCACAAAAGGTCTTTTGATCATTTAGAAATTGCACAGGTTTTATGCATCTGCAATAGAAGCGATTGGTGTTTTTTATCTGGATAGCAGTGTTAATTGTGTGATTATTAAAGCTAATAAGATTATTACATTTATTGCTATAAATGTTACTTCTAATAGCGCTGTTATTTTACTGCAGTTGTCAAAAAGTCCAAAAAGTCCAAAAAGTGTGCATGAAGAAAGGTAAACAGGGAACAGAATTTTGCTCTGGACCATTCAGAACTCAGAATCAGACCTCTGAAAAAACTTTTGTTTGAGCATCTATACAACAGAACCTCCTCACAGTGTATCTCTGCAGGTGAGTCTGAAACAAAACATCCAACTTCACTTTCCACCAAGTGTCCTTCACCTTTATGTCCCACTCTGAGAGCAACGAAGAAAGAAGGAGATTTCTCCACACATCTAAATAGCTGAAAGTTCACAGTTCCACAAAAAAATGAGGCAACCTTTCTGCTTGGAAGTCTGCTGCCATCCTAAGTACCTAAACTCCCAATTCATGGCCAGAATGGATGCAACAAAAGACAGAATACTGCGCAGAGAAATGTTTTGAGCTGCACAGAACATGTTCCTTTGGATTTCATTTGAACCCCACTGTGCTGGCAATGTTTTGAGATATGCATCGTTGGCCTAGCAGATATGCTTAGTCCTGAGGTGGACAGAACATTTGAGAACAGAGGAGTTGAAAATGAAATGATTATACAGTTCATGAGCTATTCAGTGCTCTCTGCATGCCAAGATTCTGTTCAACTACAAATCTACAAAAGGCTCCACTCCCCTGCAAAACATCACAAACATTCTTTGCCACTTTTCCAAATTTTCATTTGTTCCAGAAAAGCATACTTCATACTTGTGTAGCTCATGGAGAAGGTAAGATAAACATACATAATGGATACACATTTCATATATATATAAGTATATATATGTATGTATGTATATGTATATAGCAGCTCAATAAAGGTTTTAGCAAAGATGTGCTTGCCCACCTTAAGTGCCAAAAGGTATTTGACAGATATCTTTGATTTTAAACTGTGAGTCAGTGATTGAATATTAAGAGAAGCTTTCTCTCTATAATTGTTATCTATTTAGAATGCATTTTTCTCCTTGAAGAGGAAGGCAAC